GATTTCATCCATGTCGGAAATCAAAGCTGCGTATCACTGATTGGCCCTCGAATACTATCCGGATCGGGATTCTGGCAATGCAAACGGTAAAATTTTTTGTACATCTGTATTTTTTAGAGAGTTTAAGATTTATATAATTCGGTTGAGTGGTTTTTTTCTTCTCATATCCATAATGCCTTCCTTGGCGAAGTGGGTAAGTGTGATTGTGTAACTTCGGCAAACGAGTCACTATTGTGAGTACCTGCGACATGCCGCCAATCTGGTAATAGCCGAAAGTCGCGGCGTACTGAAAATAAGTCCGTCCCCACCTTACAGCGTTCGGGGAGGGGAGAGGGGGGCAATGTATAGGAACAATATTGGAATTGGCCGCGGAAAAAATCTCTCACCTATCTTTCCATGAGCCTCTCAGCATTTCGTAGGTGCTTCCTTACTTGGGTCACGAGTGGTTTCACATCTGAAAACGAGTTATCCTTGAATTGAACATTTTTACGATCCTACGGTTCCCTCGTCCGATAGATTTTTTCTTGCGGTCGCGGGTTCCCCAATGTCGCAAGTTGGCAGATGGCTGGCTATTTTGTTCATACGCTAGCTCACGATTCTCGATGTCTGGGAAGCGGCTATGACAGAAGCGCAAGAACCGCAAAATTCATTACGGATCTGAAGCTATGCCATTCTCTTCCTCATATTGTTAACAAATAGAAGTAGCATGGAGCAATATTGAGAATACGCTGAAGATTCGGATTCGTTTTGAGTTTCCTCCAAGTGAGTAGGCGTGAATCTGTCCTTTATTCTACAATTGGTTATTCCAGCGCAAGAGCAGGTGAAGAAAATCACCAGAGCGTCCTCCATCTTCAGCGATCCTGGCAAACGTAGAATGTTCGACACAAGCGGGCTTGAGTGGTGCCAGCGCAGGCCTAGCTGTTACCAGTCAAATTCTCATCGTGGCCAATCGTATGGTTTGAAGGTTTTGGAGAACGATGGATGCGGCCCTGGCTCTATTTTCTCAGATTTACTCAGAGAAGTATCCGATGTTTTGGGAGGAGGTAAGCGTGACCTAATGGTATTAGAATTTATTCTGAAATTTTCTCTTATCAATGCTTTGTCCAATATTAGGTATGCCCCGATTCATCCTGCGATTGCTACAAAAGTGAGTTTTTCCTGAGCAGAATTCCTCTCATTTTCTGAGCTTCAATAGTCAGTTCATTTTTGTTTTTGTAAACTAGTTTACCTTATTTCAGATGTTGGATGAAGCTCGACGACTTTGTGGGAAATCGACCCATTGTGTGAAAGCTCAACCACTAGCTGCTGGCGATACCGTTTAAAGGTATTACTTCGGAGCAAGTTTCTGTTGAAACTTCGTCTTTTTATTTTCTAACAATGTGAGCTACCGTTCGAGACTTCTTTTGTTCATGCCTAACATTGAGTGGAGAAGTTCTTTTTTCTCAGGAAGGTGCGTTCTATTGTATCGGAATAAAAGAAGAGTACCAGCAGCATGGCTGTTGTATTATTTGCGAGTCGTCTTCGTCAACGCATTCAGACTTGTTCTCTTTGACGTGGAAGGCAATATTCAAAGAATTGAAGTATGAATTTTTTCCCTCATTGATGCTGTCTAATTACTGCACTCCATGAAAAGATTTTGTAGGACCTAGTTACGAAAATGTGCAGCTGAAAAAACTCGGTTGGCACTCAAGCAGGAATGTTTCTCTTACCTTTTGACACTGCTTCTTTTGAACATTTCAAACCACGAAAGTTTATCACGATCGACCGATAACTTTACGCTTTAATAATTTCCAATAATCCCTATGAATTTAAAATTGCTATGATGTTGTTGGATATTTATCTTGTATTTCAAATTTCATGTATTCAGTGAGGGACAACTCGGTTAAGTAATACTTTTTAGGGATACATCATTGGCGTATAAACGCTTAACTTGTCACAAGATCTTCTCCGTTTTTGATGCGAGAATGCACATATTTTGTATTTACGGGGATGATCATTTAGATTATTTGAGTAAGTGGCATAATTCTTCTGTTCTTCAATTCATGGTCTTCTAGACAACTCGTTTCCATGAGATTCCACTATTTCTTCCTGGCATTCGGCCAGAATATTGAGGTGGTAATTCAGAAAAAAAAATTACGAAAGTGTACTAGCCAATTAATGGTTTTTAATCTGTAGGATAGTTCCAATCTTCTAAATTTGTCTGTACTTGTACGGGAGTGAAGATGCAGAAAAGGTTTCGTTTGGGTCTGTTACGGGAATATTATTCTTCTTCAGTTAGGAACCTTCAACTGTTTCATCTGCAGAATATTGCCCCCATTCCCATGCTCACTCATGCAAACATTTGCTTATCACCTGTGGCGATTTCTGGTAATTTATATCCCATACTACAAACCGTTCAGAATTGCCAACCGACACAACTCCCCTGAGGTAGCGCGCCCTTTTCGTACCTTGAGTCATGCATTCTTCAACACTAAATGAGATATATGTCTACTTTCCAGTTACACTTACATTCTCTTTTTTGCCCAATTGTGGTGACTTGCAGGAAGTTGTTGAGGTATTAGCTTTACAGGCAGACAAGGCCTTATTGGAAACAAAAACGGGGGTGGAAACGGTCCATATAGAATGCGAAAATGTTAAATATTAGTGAGTCGTTCATAGATCCGCTACTCATTTTGAACATCCATATTTGAGGCTTTTAAGGCTTGAATGTGTTGAGGATAGACTGTTGGCTAGAGGACCTGTAACGAATGGGCTCTGCGCAGAATATTGTGGAGCACTGAAGGGATCGCTCTTCGATATTATCATTTTCTCGTGCGCTAGTACTCGGGGCCCTTAAGGTTCGCTGATGTATTTAATAGAAATAATCAAAAAAGAAGGCAAACATATAATGGAAAAACTAGATGTCCGAGAAAAAGCGTACAGTGATCTCACAACTGCCAATCAGGCGAGGCATGTTGACCATTATTGTTTTGTTTGATTATTGTTGTTTAACAAATTACCTTTTTATTTTGGTAGATTTTGTCGTCAAAGTCAAGGAAGCCGCTCTTCACCTTGCTTCTGTGGACAGTACGCTACAGAACAGCCCTGAGGTTTCTTAATTTTGTATCTTCATCCAGTTTTTCGCATAATAATAAAAGACGAAGTGCACTTCTTTATAACTTCTTTGAGCTCAGGGTTTTCGGTCATTTTTCAAAATTCCATTTATTTTTTGAAAGTTGACGAAGTAGCTATAAGACCTTGTAGACGTGGGGTTCCAACAGCCATTTACTTTCCACGTATGCTGCTCTTGCTCAATGCTTATATCATGAAAGAATAAATACAAGCCGGACTTTATGCAGTCTTGCGATTTATTGAGATTATTTTTCATCTCATATGATTTCAAAATTGTTTTTGAAAATCTTGCTAAACACATGTTAAAGTTATGTAAATATCACATTATTATCCTGACTTCAAGTTCATGATGGACCTATTCAGATCACTCAACAATGCCATCTGAAAAATAAAGGAGAACACTCAGAAGGGCAACATTATCGACAATATGTATTGTATAAGGTAAGTGAAAAAGAAAAGGAGTGTCTATGCTATATAGCTATGCACACTGCCTTTAGTGGAGAAATTGACGATCCCTGTGTATGCTTCTCATTCGTTATAGGTAAGGTTATGCAATCAAGGTTATGTAGTTCGAACATGGCTTGACAATGTAAACAACGAGGAGGCCCCGAGGCTCAAAAATTACCGAGTTGCAGTGCGCTCTGCAGGGACCACTATCTTGCAGTCATGGACCTTAATCAGGAATAGTGCGAGTCAAAACGCGCCCCTATGGTCAACAGAATGTGGGCCGCTGCGGTCCGTCCCCACAGATACTCTTCCATTCCGTGATTTCACTCTATCAAACAAGAGTTTGTTGGCTCTAAGAAGTTTAGAAGCGGCAGCTTAGGCTAGTCGTGTCAGGCATTGCTCCTATGCTTCAAAATGAGTTGTATTCTGTAATAACCAGCCGGCCAATGAAATGCTCGCCATGCGCGCAGCAAACTTGTTTCGAACAGGCAACTATTGTGGTGTGTTTTGACCCATATCCGATTTGAAATTAATGAGTTTTGCCATTTTTTCTAAGGATTCCGCTCTACTTGTCTGGGAATGCAATTTAGGTGTAGTGGGTATATAGAACTAAAAGCAGAATCATGCCAAAAGTAATAATCGCATAGCGATTGAGCCGTATGGAGAAGAGGGTAAACCAGCAGCCAGCAGTCATTATGGTCATACAAATTCAACTCGTTTGCATGCTCAGTCATAGAAGAATAGACAAAAGTTGTAGGTAGGGGCGTTTCAGATCTACTATGTGCTGACTGCTAGGTGTGCTTAATTTTCAATTCTGATATGGTAACAATAAGGGGCCTCGCGTGCGACGGTAGAATGACTCTGAACGAGTTGTAGTAGGCCATATAAAGCAATAATGGGAATTGAAATAGTTTACACGTGACATGGAGATGTATTGTTATGATTGTAAACATAATCCGGATAGGTGCCCATGGAGAACAGCCAGTGCGCCCAGGTGTTCATGTTCAAAGCTGTGATACAGATGCAGAGTATGTTCAAGAAAATTCCGCATGAAACCTGAATTAATAAGGTTCTTGATTCTTCACTGATTTTTCTTCGAGTTCTAACCATCTTGAATTCCGCCTTTTATTCGAAAATCACTGAACAGGTGAAACGTTGAGGTCAGGATGCGCCATCGCGGTCCCCTCGCTTGCTGTGGGCCAGTCGTGTCAGGACCACGATTCTTTCCAATGTATGTGTTGGCTATTCAAGGGTTCTACGAACCATCTGGGGTCGTAGCGCGTGCGACAACCTAATTTTGTCGAGGCGATAACGACAGTGCATCCTGACCCATCTTCCACATTGCGCTTTGCGGCAACCTCGCAACGGTGCTGACTGATTCTGAATTGTTTTCTTGACTCTTCACGAGGTTTGTATACTAGCTTTACTAGGCACACGTTTCGGCGGAGTCGCCTTCTTAAGAGCCTGGAAAGATAATAACAATTTGTGACTATTCGATCAAACGTCTTCACTACCACACTGAAGTTCGAGATCCCCAGGGCATGCAGGTGATTAAAGGAGAACCACTCACCGTAGCTTTGTGGATTCTTCGGAATCTACCAGCAACCGATGGTAACAACCGACCAATGTCAGCTGGGGTAGGTCTTCATTGAATGTCTATGCGGATAGGCCAACTTTATATAAGGCCGCAGCTCCCGCGTGATTGCGAGGCATTCTTCCCTACGCTTCCATTCCGAAGCGCCTGGTTTGGAACAGGCTATACGATCGCCTATGGGTAACCCCAAACTGTGTGGTCTGCCCAGCTGGCAAGGAGGGTGATTGTACCATGTCTGAAGTGGC